CACACACACACACACACACACACACACACACACACACACACACACACCCCTTCCCCACATCTGTTTTTTTTTAAGTTTGGTAAGTGGAGAAAACGGCTCCTAAGTGAGGGGCAGCTGTGAAATCAAAGAAAGGGTCTTAGTTTTGGATTTAGAGAGAGCTAGATTTGCATCCTCAGTTTGATCTAGGTCTGAGCCTCAGTTTCCTTATCTGTAAAAGGAGGGTTTTTTTTTAAAAATAAGATTAACGTAAGGATTAAACCAGATGATGGCTAGGTTTCAGATCTGCAGCCTGAAACCTAGTTCCTGGCTCAGAGGAGAGCATTTGTGGAGTTGATGCTATCAGTGAGGAAGACTGGCATGCCTGTTGCTTAATGGAAATGCCCTCTGTCCTGCCCTGCTCCTTTCTCTCTCTCCTGCTTCCCAGGAGGCCTTTTCCTGACTGATTACTCCACCTGCTCACCCCGCAAGCTGAGTCCTTTCCGCTCCTTTGCCAGCACTGAGCTCTTCCACTTCCATGTTCCCGAGGACACATTCCTGGCTGTTTGGAACCTCATCATCTTCAAGGAGCAAGGGGGAACCTTTGGGGACCACTGCCCAGACCAAAGTGTGACTGTGTGAGTGTCTGAGTTAATTTCCCAACCTCACTTCCAACCCCTGACCACTTTCCAGACTAAAGTGTGATTTTAACTGACCCTGACCCCAACCCACGTCCAGATTGAAGTGTGACTGAGTGAGGGCCATGACCTCTGTCACATGACCACTTCCGGACTACTGTATGACTGTGCGAGTGCTTGAGCTGATCTCTCACCCGTGGCCCCTGACCTGGAACCACTTTGTTGAATGTGTCAGTATAGGGAATCTATTTGTTTTACCGGTAATGAGTGACAGTTCTTTCTTTCTTCCATTTCCTGCCTCCCACCCCATTGCCTGCTTTTCTTCTCTCCTAATTCTGGTCCCCCAGGTATTTCCGGTCCGGGGCACCCCCTGTCATCAATCCCCTGCATACACACTTCCCAGGGGACACAGCTGTGCCTGGGGTTTTCTCACTGACCCTCAGCTGGACACTGCCCAACCGCACCTCAGGCATCTTTAACGTCAGCAGCCCCTTACCTGGGGACTGGTTCTTGGCTGCCCACCTTCCCCAGGCCCATGGCCACATCTCTGTCAAGGTGGGTTGATGTTGCCCAGGCTCAGGGGTCTAGAACTGCCCTTCCATCTTTGCTGAACTCCCCCCACAGGCTCCCTGGCACGCCAGCCTTGTGTCAGGGTGGGCAGCAGCACAAGGGTGGCTGGGGTGGGGCATGGCTAAAGGCCAGCAGGTCACCTAGTGGGTCAGAGGCCATGATCTGGAGGAGGCAACTTGGGAGACCCAGGAGGACATGCTGGGTCCAGGTAAGCTGAAGGGAAAGTTGAGAATCTGGAGTCAGAGGCTCTGGCATGGGGGAGTAGTGCCGCTTCCTAGTGGAAGGCACAAGTGTTAATCAAGGTGAACAGAAGCCAACTATGGGCTGGTCCAATCTGCTGCACACACCCAGGACTGGTTTTATTCTACATCTTGATTGACAATAGCCCTGAAGACTCTCTTAGCCTACGGCCCAGCCTTTAATCCATCTGGGAGAATGCATTCCTCTTGCATCATAATTTCAGACAGCTTCCTACACCCTTCAGAAGACCACAAGAGGAGCTCTTTCCTGCTAAAAGGAGGCTTTGGGCAGCTGGTGTCCATCCTGGCCTTTGCCTCACTTTTCTCCAAATATCAGCCACCCCAAGCACTTATTTCATAGAGGTTGTTAAAGACTGAAGGGCAGGTTCAAAGGTCAGACGCCTCTCTGGTTTGGAGTGGAAGGAAATGCCACAATGTTTTCCTGCCACTCTCATGGATTAGGCCAGACAGGTCTCCTACTCCTATTCACTGGAGGAGGAGCAGGGGGTGTACTGAGCTGGCTGTTGTCAGCGTGGGATGACCATGTGCATGGGGCCTGTGGTGAGGGTGAATAAACGAGCAAGAACAGAGCGAGAATTTAAAGAACAGGACTCTAGCACTCAGAAATGTGGTAAATAGTGCCTTTGAATGAGCTGAGACTCACATAAGGACAAGGGTGATGGAACTGCTATTGTCAGAGATGGGAAGTAGGGCTGAGGTAGTGTCTCTAGGCCTCAGTGACGGCCATTTTTCCTGAGAGTGATGTGGATGTGCAAAAGAACTCCCCATCAAGGCCTGTGAGCCTGCTGAAGGACAGCATGTTGGGAGCTAGCTTGGAAGGGGCCCTAGGTTCTAGGTAGGCCTTGACTCTCATCAGAACTGAGGGTTCTTCTGTTAGAAGGAACTTCTTCGTAGGTCTTTGGCAAAATCCCAACAGGGATGTTCCTTATCCTAACTCTGATCCTTGACCCACTTTGTGAGAACTGACAGGGAAAATCCTCCTGAAGCCTGGCTGTAGTTATCCAAAAACCTTTCTAGGTAAGCAGGAACCTAGGGCCTAGGCCTAGGCTGGGATTGTGGGAGCTGAGGCCCAGTTAGAAGTGGTCAGGATTGCTTATGGCTATCAGATTGGGACAGTGGGGAACGGAGATAGTAGTGCAGAGAAAAGCTGATCAGACCTTAAAGGGTGATTCAAGTACCCAGACCAAGGGGGAGTTGGGCAGTGAGAAAAGAACTAGGCCCCACATGTATATTTGCATCTAGACATGGGAAGTGGGGCCTGGGGAACTTGGTACTGAACTGGAATCCTGGTCAGAGCTCCCCCAGGTATGTGGTGAGGCTAGACAGAAGAGGACCATCCCACTCTGCCCACAAGCAGCAGTGGGTCTGGATGCCATGAGAGATGTAGTGCTTCCGCCAGGCCTGTTTGAGAGGTTGATGGGGCAAGGATCTTATGTCGGTCCTTCTAAGAATTAGATAAACTTCTGTAATCTTATATGGTCCTCTAAGGGTTCTTCAGCTCTCCAGATGCTGGTTAATTTCCAGGATTCCAGCCTGTGGGTTCATTGTCTAGAGCATTCCTCCATCTTCTCAACTTGTTTCCTCCTGCTACTATGGTATGCTTCCTGTGAGGCTTGGCAAACACAGGAGTTTATGTGGGTTTAGGGATATCCTTTGGTGGGAACTGAAGAGTCCCAGCGATAAGAAGGCAGTGGTTTCTAGGGCCCTTCTCAGCTTTGGGGATGAACTCAGATCTCCCTTTAGCCTCAGTCCTTTAGTACCTGCTTTGTGCCAGGCCTTGGGTTGTGTGCTGGGGACACAGAAATAAATAAGATGCATGTTAGATACAGGAGATGTTTTAGGAGGATAAAGGGGAGATGGCTAACTTAGCGTGGTGGAGGTGGTATTGGAAACTGTTAAGTGGCGAGGCCTGAGGTTGAGAAGGTAGGGAAGGGCATACCAGGTGGTGGGAGTAGCATGGCCCAAAGTTTAGAAGGAACTGAAGTGGTTCAGTGTGGGCTGGTTTTGGGGTGGTGAGGAAGGTAGAGGGATGAGCAGAGGCCAGATCATGAAGGGCCTTGACATTTGAACTGTATCCTGAGCGTGATAGGGAGCCCTGAAAGGTTGTGAAAAAGAAGTGACTTACCTGGTCTGGGCCACCCTCATGAGCTCTAGTCCCACACTTCTGCCAGACCCTGTGTCTGTGTTATTTACTATGTATTCCTAGCCTTCAGTGCAGAGTCTGGCACATGATGCTGTTTCACCTCCTTTCCCTGTCACCTTCTTCCTACCAGCCACTTCTGTCCTGTCCCTGGCCTCCATCTCCTTGCCTTTCCTGTTTTGGATCCTGTGTTCATTCTAAGGCGCCCAGTTGCCAGTCTGCTCTGAGGGGCTGGCCTTTGGGTTGTGGATACCATTTGGCGCCCAAATGGCTCATAAGGGGAAAGTACTCCTAAATGTCTTTAGAGCACAGGTTCTCTTCTTATCCTTCCTCTTCCTGTGTCTAAGATTTGAAAAAGTAGGTAAAATAATAAAAGCAACAACAAGGAAAGTGAAGAAGTCAATTGTACAGGAGAAAGGATTCTGTTGAATCCACCAACTAGGACCACACGTGACTCAATATCTCAGCAGAGGTGGTTAGAATCTGCTAATAGTGCAGCTGCTTTTCCTCTTCCTCCTAAATTATTTTATTTATATTTTGAATAGGCAATCTGTGCACCTGGTACAACATTCAAACGGTACAAAAGACATACAGTGGAAAGTAAGTTTTCCTCTTCCCTTCTTTCAGTCTCCAATTCCCCTCCCCAGAGTTAACTAGTAACTAGCTGTTAACTAGTTCCCTATATTACTCTTTCCTTTTTGAAACACCTTCCCTTCTTGGCCTCTGTGACTTTACAGAACTGTCATGGTTTTCCCACTGCCCACTCCTCTGTCTCCTTTCCTGGCCTCTCCTCTGCTTGATCTCCATGTTGTAGTGGCCCAATGCTTGGTCCTGGAACAGCTCCTTTTTTACTTTTCTATTCTCTTGCGTGGTGTTCCAGCACAATAGTTTAAATTACCGTCTGTATGTTAATGCTTCCAAGAGTAGTCAGCCAGTCCTAATTTCTTTGAATCCCAGACTTTATATCCCACTGCTTACTTGACATCTCCAATTGGATGTCTAAGAAATGTCTCAAAGAGTATTTAGTAAAACCAAATCAAAGTGAAGCTAAAAGTATAAAACTCCTTAATTTCTTTTCACTGCTCCCAGTCCATGCTGCTTCCTTCTGTAGTTATTGTGATCTTCCTCAGGAAATTGCACTGTCATCCACCCATTGCTCAAGCCCCAAATTAAGTGCCCCAAATCCTTGATTTTTCTTTTCTTCTGATTCCTCACAACCAATCTGTAAAGAAAAAGTCTTGTTGACACTACTTCTGAGGCATGCCCTGAACGCATCTACAGTTCTTCATTTCCACATCCAGCACAGTTTCTCTGCTTTCTGCAGGGCTACCACAGTAGCCTCATAAGTGGTCTTCCTGCTTTCACCCTTGCCCCCTGAAGTCTGTCGAACACTCGTTTGCTTCTACACTGATTGGGTGCTTTCTGACTGTGGGCATGGGCTCAGCTGTGCACTCGCTATTCCCACAGAGAACGCTAAGTGTCTTTGGGCATCTTCAGTCTGCAAGCCCCACCCAGAGTCTGGCACTGGCCACCCCGCTCAGGTCTTTCTGAAGAAACTCAGCCCATACGTATGAGGACATTCTAGGAATCTACCTACCATGCCTTCCACTCCAGGATCTTTCAGCCTGTAGCCCATCCATGTCTCACTTTTGCCTCTCCTAATTTCTCGAGCTTCCTTGCCTGGGCCCTGGGCCTCCCTGACTGCTGATGTTCTTCTGGCCTCTTGGCTCAGTTGGGACACTCTCACTTGGCATCTGCCCTGGCAGCTCTTGAGGACCTGACTTCTGGTGCTCTTTCTCTGGCCCCATCACTGGGTGACAGTTCCCTGCATCTCCCCTGGTGTCCACTGACTAAACACTCCCTCCGCATGAAGAGGGGGGACTGGCACGTTACACAGTTGAAGGAAGGAGCACATCTTAACCAAACAGGTCACGTCCACTATCTTTCATTGAATCAAACACAAGCAAAACTCCAAAACGTGGAGCAAAGCGTTTCTTTCCTGGACTGTCTAGCAAGGAAATGGGCCACCACTGGAGCATGAGCCCCCACCCTTGGGACTCATTCACTACAAGATTATTATGGTGGTAATTCTTGCCTTAGGAGGTGGGGTCAATGCAGTGACTTGTGAGAGTCTTTTGGTTCTTAGGGTTTGACACCAAACCTGAACATCTAGGTTGGTTCAGGAGCTCTCTGAAGGGACCCCCTTTTTGACACCCATTCTTTAACAGCTATTTTAGCACCTAGTGTGTGCCAGATGGTGTACTAGACACTGGGGATGCAAAAGGCACAGACCTTCTAGCCTTGTTGAGTTTTGCTGGAAGTCAGTGCCTTGACTGGCTTGTTCTGAGCCATGGAACTCAGTGGGATGTCAGGGCCTGGAACTTTTGTCACAGAACAGAGTTTGAAGGTATGACCTAATTAGGAGCCCCCACTTCCCCTTAACTGTGAGGTCTGTAGGGCTCATATAGCTGCACGTGCTGCAGAAGAGGAACTGTGACAAACGGGACTGTGCTCACTGGAGAGTGATAAGGCTGTGCGGGCCAGGGGGTGTCAACAGAGAAGGAGCTGGGGATTTTCTCCAGAAGAGAAGCTGGGGGAGACATGGTTGATATCCTTTAGCAGCAGAAGAAACACAGTCTGAGGCTGAGGGACCAGACAGATTAGTGGGTCTCCTGAAGGCAGAGTTGGGGCAGGGGCATAAAAAATGACAGGATTTGGCTTTAGCAAGGTCAGCACTTCCCCCAGATGTTGTGATCTATTTACTGATTTGTTAATTCAGCAAACATTCATCTGTGAGGTATGCACTCTATGTGAGGCCCTGTGTCTAGAGGAACAAAAATCAAATAGGACAGAGTTCCTGTTCTCAAGCTGCTTATAGTCTGAGGTTGCCTGGAAGGTAATGAGTGGCCCAGCACTCATTACCTATGTAGGGCTGCTCATTACCTGGGTGTAATGAGTGTGAAAGCAGAGGCTGGACAAGCACGTGGGAGTGGGGCAGGGTGGGGACTAGAGGAAATTAAAGGTTGAGATTGGTGGCGGGGAGAGTGAGGGGGTTGGATTGGAGGCCTTGAAGGAGCTTTCCACCTCACCCCACTTTGCCTAAAAGAGCCAGTGTTCTAAGTTCCTGAGCCTGGTCCGGAATGGGCTGGTTGGAGATCACAGTGCTGCTGGGCTGGCCCAGAATGCTCAGGGGGAGAGGTTAGCTTGGGAGACGGGGCAAGCCAGGCCTGATTGTCAGGAGGGCCTGGGTTTGAATCCCAAAACCTCAGCCAGTGCTGAGGATCCCAGCAGACCTTGCAGACTGAGGTGGGACAGAGATGACCAGAAATGACTGCTCAGGCAAGAAGGACCTAGAGTTTAGAGAGACCTGGGTTAGAGTCCTGGGAGTGGTGGCCAGGGTGGGGGTTTCTCCCTGGCCCACCCAGCAGGTTCTGTTTGCCTTGGTTTAGTCATGCCCCTGCTGTCTCTCCCTCTCCTGCCACCCCTGCTTTTGTCCCAGGGTCTCCAGGATGAGTGTCAGTACCTCCTTCAGCCGCAGCTGATTGTCCGGCGTTTGCTGGACGTTGCTGTACTGGTTCCTGGCCGGCCCTCAGAGCAAACCCTCTCCCCACACAATCGCTCAGCGCTCTACAAGTAAGTCAAAGACTCCCCACACCTGGTCCTTTCCCACTTCTCTGGCCTCAAATAGGCTGCAGGGTTCTCTCTTCTCCGCCTACCTGCCTGGTCCCTGGGTGGGATCCCTGCCTCCCTCCCTCCCAGAACAGAGCGGGAGACCTGAACAGGCCTCCTTCCCACCCCACGCCCCCTCCTTCCCACCCCACGCCCCCTCCTTCCTAGTGCTTCCCTTGCCCTGTGTTCCTCTCGTCTCTGTTTTTGCCTTCTTACCCCCAACCTCTCCTCTGCCCAGGGTCTTTGTGCCCAGCTTCACTTACAGGGTTTCAGCACAGCTGGCGTGTGTGGGGGGCCGCGGGGTATCTGCCTGCCCCCTGTCACTGCGTCTGCGTCCCAAAGCCCCACCCCTGCACAACTCAAGCTCTGTGGCCTGTGGAGGTGCCTCGGGATGCCAACTAGAGCTGGCACTGCCCCCCTGGGGGCACTGGGTCTACGTGCGTGTGGAAACATCATCCCGGGGCCCTGGTAGGACCATCCGCTTCCAGCTGTGTGTGCGGTTGCAAGGTCAGAACCCCTGCATTTGCCCTAGTCTGTGCAGATATCCGTGGCTGGGAAGTGACTTGGGGTGGCTCTGTTCAGTGGCCCTCTGCCACATCCCTACAACCTCCCCTTCCCCACCCAGGCTCCTTCACGCTCCCTGAAGCCATCCCACTTGGAGCTCCAAGTTATTGAAAGGCTTTTAGATAACTTTTTTTTTTTGCATCTGACTTGAGACAACTAAAGGACCTCATTACTTTCTTTGATTTAATCTCTCAGTTTCCTGGGGTAGGCAGAGACATCCAGGACCTCTGGGACACTGTCCTTGCCAAAGCCCTTGCAAGTCAGTGAGACAGGCTGTCATACTTAATATCTGTTTCAATAGCATCTTCACTGCCTTTAGGGAAGGATAGATGACCTCGGTTCCCTCCAGTGTGGTATTGCGTTAGCTGTCACCATTAGGAAACCCCTATGACCCTGGATGCCCCACACTCCCAAGGGACATTGCATTCTAGTTCTCATCCTTCCCCACTCTTTGCGAAATGCTGTCTAGCTCAGATCTGTTTATGAGTAAGTTCAGGACTGTAAAGGCTGCAGGCCCAAGCTCTGGTTTCCTCTGCCCCACAGAGTGCCCACAGCCCGGCCTGCTTCGAGCCCTGGTCCCTGGAGCTGCCATGAACATGCCCCAGTCACTGGGCAACCAGCCACTGCCCCCAGAGCCACCATCCCTTGGAACCCCTGCGGAGGGGCCTGGGACCACATCCCCACCCGAGCACTGCTGGCCAGTGCGCCCGACTCTGCGCAACGAGCTGGACACCTTCTCTGTCCACTTCTACATCTTCTTTGGCCCCAGTGTGGCCCTTCCCCCTGAGCGCCCAGCCGTGTTCGCCATGAGGCTGTTGCCAGTGCTGGACAGTGGAGGCGTCCTCAGCCTGGAGCTCCAGCTCAATGCGGTACTCTTTATGGAGAGTGGGGAGGTTGCTCTCCCGGGGAGCTTGCAGGGAAAGGTGTCAGGGGTGTTGGGGTCTTTACCTCCTCCAGGAGGTAAAAGCCTATCCAGGTTGCTCCCACCCATCCTGACAATTAGAGACCATGACTTAGCAAACATGTTCGGCGTATTGACTCTGCTACAGATGGGCAGGTCAACCAGGTCGACTCAGTGTCTGGGGTTTCCCAGTTTTGTAGGCTCACCTCCTGCTCATTACTGGCCTTTCACTATGGCAGTTGTTAACCTTTTCTTGCAAATCTCCTTTGATGGGGAGTTTACCACCTCTTGAGGCCACACAGTTCATGTTTGGATAGCGCTGATTGCCAGAGGCATTCCTGACATCCCATCAAAATCTGTCTCCATGAATTTTTTACCCACTCATCTTTGATTCAGTGGGTAAAAGCCATATCCAGAAGCCATTTCCAGTAAATCTATCTCTGTCTTGTTCTTTTTTAAAGCAATAGACCTAATTTTTTTTAGAGCAGTTTTAGGTTGAACAGAAAGCACAAAGTTCTCATATACCCACTCTCTCACGTTTTCCCTATTATGAATATCTTACATTAGTATGATACATTTATTGCGTCCCAGTCCTATTTTTACAGCCCTTCAGATGTTACCTCCAACCTCCCAAAAGCTGAAGAACCTCAGTGTCTTTGGGGTCTTGGTATTTGGATCTCTCCCCTTCTTTCACTGTTTCACCTGGTCATACTTCTAGTGGTCACTGTGTCTCTGAAATAAGTGATCTGAGGTGGTCTGATCGAGGTGGCAGGTAACAAGACTTGCATTTGTGCTGCCTGAGATTGAGTTACTTTTTTCAGCGGCTGCATTACACTGTGCGATCACCTAGGGCTTGTGGTGAATTGAGATCCCTGGGTCTTTTTCCTTCCTTTGTATTTTCTTCAAACCAGTTGTACACATTTTTTTTTTTTTTTTTTTTTTAATTATAAGAGTAATAGGATCACATAAAAACTTTGGAAAATAGGGGAAAATATCTCCCTAATGCAACTGTTTAACTTTTTTTTTGAGACAGAGTCTTTCACTCTGTTGCCCAGGTTGGAGTGTAGGGGTGTGATCTTGGCTCACTGCAACCTCCGCTTCCTGGGTTCAAGCGATTCTTGTGCCTCAGCCTCCAGAGTAGCTGGGATTACAGGAGTGCACCACCACACCCAGCTAATTTTTTGTATTTTTAGTAGAGACTGGGTTTCACCATGTTGCCCAGACTGGTCTCAAACTCCTGGACTCAGCTGATCTGCCTGCCTTGGCCTCCCAACATGTTGGGATTACAAGTGTGAGCCACTGTGCCTGGCCCACAGCTGTTTTTGGTTTATGTCCTCCCATTTATTTTCCCCATTAATTGCTTTTTTTCTCTAGTTGTAATCAAGGGGCATACACATTTTGGTGCCAATTCGCATATTGTATTTTTGCAGTGAATTTTTGAACCTGAATGGAAGAATTTATGTCCCTCCTTGAGGCATTGCCTAATACTGGTTAGGGACTCAGGCCTTCTCCATTTTGTGTAATTCACACACTTGCAAAGCCAACTTTTTGTACTTCTTAGTCATTACTGTCAGCATTAAGACTGAGATGAGGGCGGAGCCCTATGCTGGCCCATTAGAGAATATCTTCAGCTTAGCTTTGATCCAATAACTTACATACTGTTCCCCCAGCCAGGGATCCTTTTAACTCTACTATCCTCCAGTTCTGAGGGCAGGGACCACTTTCCCATCAGCCAACCTGAGGCCTGGTCTGTGGCTTCATGTGGCCTTTTATGGGACATGGCTTAGAACTTTCTAGTGGTCCTGTTAGAGTCATTTATTCACCCTGAATATATTTCTTATTTACATAATCAAATTCTCTCTTTGTTCTCGCTAAGACTGTATGTATTTTGTGTTTGCTTATTGCCATGCCTCTGGGCAATGACAGTGAGATCTTGATTCGACCTTGAAACTGTAGACCCTGAATTAGAGGACAGCCTTGCCCATACTTGTTGTTTCTTCCTCAGTACCCGGAAAATAGAAGCCTAGCCCTCCTCCAGCCCCTCACCCTTTCCCTCTCTGCATTCCTATCCATTCACTTTAATGAGCATCTGTTTACATTCCATCATCTGCATTCTATGACACGTGCTACCCACCTCAGCCTGTTCTGTTTATTCTGAAAGGTATTTCCTCCAAATATTTTGATTTTTTTTCTCCCCTTGGATCAAGAACTGGACATTTGGATCAGAGAACTGCATATACTTTTTTCTTTGGCTCCCTCCTAGAAAGACTTTCACTGAGTAATACTTTGGCATATTGCCCCGGGCTTGCATTGAAGGAAGTTATATAAGCAAGTTGTATGAAACTCACTCTTGTGGCTGAGGACAGGATGCATGACAACACACAGTGCTGCTTTGATGAGAATTTCTCTCAGAACTTCCCCTTTGGATGCTGTGATTCTCCAGAGACTCTGATTAGCTTTTATATTATGTAGTTGCAAATCTGGTAACTCATTATACTTCCTTTGCTTTGGTTGCTTGGAAGTCAATATCAAATATATGGCCTACATTAGGGACAGACTTTATTTTCCTATCCTGATTTTTAAGTTTCCCTCAGGCATTTATTGTATTCTATTTTATGTAAGCTGCCTCAAATCCTTCTTGAATGAGGTGAGTTTATGGCATCCTGTTACCTTTATTCTTGTAGACAACCCCTTACATTTACTCTTGCAGATTAGCTGGTTTCTTTTAATCCCTGCCATGTTGCTACATTTAATCTCTTGGGCATTCTGTTACCACCGTTCAGTACCTAGGATCATTTCACCTGAATTGGAGTGAGTGTCTTCATGCTCTGCCTGTCTTGGGGTCCAGGTGAAGATGATGGAAAACCTTACAATTGCCTTTGTCCACAATTAGTTTCTATAACTGGCAACAGCTCTCCTTCCCCTCAGTGAGCTAGATAGGACTGAAAAAGAGGGTGTTCTCTCTTGCTCGGACAGAATTGAAACACTTCTGCCCAAAGAACAGATTCAGAATTGGGCCTTGCCGTCTCATCAGTCCTTGAAAGATTTCTGCTGTGGAGGATCTGTTGTTTTTCAGTTTTTCTGTTCTAAGAATGGAGGTGAGAGGGCAGCTTTGGCGTGCAGAGCGCCGGGAGGAATGGGCTGTCCTTGGAAGGTGTGGGTTAACAGGGGTGGGAGTCCGAGGGTGGCTGTGGGTGGAGCTGGAGGATGTGGCGACCTCACCTCCATACCTACCCTCCCCAGAGCTCCGTGCGCCAGGAAAACGTGACAGTGTTTGGATGCTTGACCCACGAGGTGCCCTTGAGCCTGGGGGATGCAGCAGTGACCTGTTCCAAAGGTGGGGTGAGGAATGGGGGAGGAGAGGAAGCTGCAGTGTGGTAGGGGTGGTGGTGGTAGTGGCGGGCAGAGGTGAAGGTGGGGAGAGATGGAATGGAGGAATGGTAGGCCAGGGTTCCGGGAAGTGGGGGAAGGTGGGTGAGGGTTCTTGGGTCCTGACTCCTCTTTCCTCTCACTGACCCCTTCCTTCTCCCTTCAGAGTCCCTGGCCGGCTTCCTCCTCTCCGTCAGTGCCACTACCAGGGTTGCCAGGCTGCGAATCCCATTCCCGCAGACGGGGACCTGGTTCCTGGCCCTTCGCTCCCTGTGCGGGGTGGGGCCTCGGTGAGCGGGGCGGGGCGGGGCCAGGGCTGGGACCGGGACTCGCCCGGGGTGGCCCGGGGCCCCAGGTGACTGCGAGTGTGTGCGCAGGTTCGTGCGGTGCCGCAACGCGACAGCCGAGGTGCGGATGCGCACCTTCCTGTCCCCATGCGTGGACGACTGCGGGCCGTATGGCCAGTGCAAGCTGCTGCGCACACACAACTATCTGTATGCAGCCTGCGAGTGCAAGGCTGGTGAGCGGGCTGCGGTGGACTGGAGGTGGACCTGTGAGCCTGTGGGCAGGCGGCGGGAGTAGGGGAGTGCGCAGCCTGAATTGGGGACGGCTTTGGCAGAGCCGGGGTGAGACCACCCTCCACGGGCAGTGGCATAGGCCCATGGCTGCCGTCTGTCCTCTTCCATCCTGTTCCCTCCCCACCCGCAGGGTGGAGAGGCTGGGGCTGCACCGACAGTGCAGATGCGCTCACCTATGGATTCCAGCTGCTGTCCACACTCCTGCTCTGCCTGAGCAACCTCATGTTTCTGCCACCTGTGGTCCTGGCCATTCGGAGTCGATATGTGCTGGAAGCTGCTGTCTACACCTTCACCATGTTCTTCTCCACGGTATGCGGCTGTGTCTGCATCTTATCACTGGGTGCTTGTGCGTGGTGGTGGGTCACAGTCTGTATTTCCACCACGTTCTCCGAAGGTTTGGGAATGTACGTGCCTTCACTGTGTCTTCTACAGACAGAGACAGCAGTGCTTCCCAACCTATCATGCATAGAAAAGGGTCGTTTTTGTAAGGCACATTGGAGGAAATGAACAAAACTGTTCTCAACTTAATAAAGTAAGTTTGGGCCTCTAGCTGTTCCACACTCTGTCCACCCTGAGGGCTGAGGGGACCTTTACTCAACACATGGGCCAAGAAACTGGCCTACAGTATGGATTTGTGTCTACACAGTCACCGTGTTCTGTGTATGGGGGCAGGAAATCTGTGCTTTCCCCCACACCTCTGCATGGAGTGTCTTCATTTTCACCACATTCTTCCATGATGTGAGAGCTAGCTACTCTGAGCTCCCCTTCTCCATCACACTGGGGACTTCTACACCGTTAGCATGTTCGTTCCTGTGGTCTGAAATGGTGTCCCCATTCAGTCGCCATGCCACCTTGATTTCTCATGGGAACTTTGGAAAGATAGAGGGGATCTCTGTATTGGGGGATTATATAGGACAGTCTGACTTTCAGAGTCCTGAGAAGCTTTACAGACTCAACTATGTCCTGAGGCATTGTCAGATGTGGCAGTATCATATCACATCCCAGCTCAAAGGAGTGCATTTTGATGAAAATTAATACAGTTTAAAACCCCTCCATTCCCATTGCAGAATCGCCACAATCTCTTTCCTGTGTTTTCCCCACTCCTCCATAATCAGAAAAGTTCATTATAAGCAAGTGTCCAGAAACTATAAGGAAAGGTAGAGAAATGAGCCTGCTGATGTGACTTAACCCCCAAGTAGACTTTTTACCCCTGAAGTGTCACATCTGGGAATGTTTTCAACTCATCTCTAGGCTCTTGACACCATGTGACATGCATGTGAGCACTGCAAAAACTCTTAGATGATTTCAGACTCTCAGGCCTTGGCAGCAAGGATATCACAGAAACCAAAACGGGCCTTCCTGGTGTCCAGCATTACTAGGTCAGACATATGTCTAAATTAGAAAAATCATACCTCTCATCTGGGAGAAAGCAGGGACAAATGTGCTGAAACTGAGGGGCCTGGGTCCTGCTGGAGATTCATCCAGAGATGTGGAAGAAGAGGCTGCAGCCACGCTGCAGAGAGAGATCTTGGCTCTTTAAGCTAGGTGAGAAGCACATACCCCAGTTTTGCTTGATTGGCCCCTTTTTAGGCCTGCTCCCACAGTGCCTCATTCTATTTTTATATTAGACACTGTTTCTCTTTCGTATTGCCAGATGCCCTTTCTACTGTGGCTCACCAAATCCTCCAGCAACAGCTGTTCCACCAGCCCACTCTCAGCTACATGCAGATTGAATGTGATTCATAATTAGTAAGCCTACCTAAGTGTGTCAGGAGCCTGCAGCATGTAGGGAGAGCATATTCACTCTCTGGACTTGACACAAGCATCCTGATTGGCTCCAGAGTGTTCAGTGCTAGATGATTCTTCCTTATCTGGATACAGTGTCTGTCAACCTGAAAAGACCTTCCTTGTAGCAGGGAGAGCCTCAAGTCACATAAAAAGCTCCCACTTTCTTTCCTTTTTTTTTTTTTTTTTTTTTGAGACAGTCTCACTGTCGCCCAGGCTGGAGTGCAGTAGCGCGATCTTAGCTCACTGCAACCTCCGCCTCCCAGGTTCAAGTGATTCTCCTGACTCAGCCTCCTGAGTAGCTGGGACTACAGGTGCACACCACCACACCTAGCTAATTTTTGTATTTTTGGTAGAGACAGGATTTCACCATGTTGGCCAAGTTGGTCTCAATCTCCTGACCTCATGAACCACCTGTCTTGGCCTCCCAAAGTGCTGGGATTACAGGCGTGAGCCACTGCACTGGGCCAAAAGCTCCCATTGTCTTAAGTAAGGCAATAAGGAAAAGCTGCTGGCTTTGAGGTGTTGCCTAAAGCCCTGCTTTAACTCCTGTTCTTTTCCACATGGGCCAGAACATAAAGCTGTGTTTTCTCTTTTCCCTGTAGGTTCTCTGTGGTCCCTCCTTGCCATTCTTAGACTTATTTCATTCTGCAGCAGTGTCCATTTAAGGGCCCATTGGTCAAATTGCAGTTGTCAGTACTAGGACAGGAGATGACAGTTATCTTCCTTGTCTTCAAATAATCCAGGACAGTCTACACTTGGGAGTGGTAATTCATTCTTATCTGGGACATAGGAGCAGACAGTAGGGATTCAGGAGTTTACAGATATAAAATATGTTTTGGAAAAAAAAACAGGCCACAAACTTAGCATTTGATTTTTGTATATAGGC